CATCATGAAACCTAAAAGATTAAAACAAATATGGGTGAACAGTAAAAAACATTTCAGCTCTTATTGCATTTAAAGTGTATCCAAGTGTGTCTCACTATTTACCATGGTGATCATTGGCACAGCAATGGAAGGAGGGAAAAAAAAACCCACATTTTTGTTGTGACCGGAACAGAAACAAAGAGCAAATCACCCAATGAAGAGGATTGTTTAAAGGTTCATTCACACCAGATGCAGGTATGCACTGATCAACGCATGCCAGCACATACCAGTGTGTTGTGTGGATATGCACGGCCCTACACTTGAAAAAAATGTAGGACATGCCCTCTGTGTTAAAGCACATAGTCTCACTGCAACATTCAAAACAGTCAGTTGAAGTTTCCTTTACTAATAAAACTTATTGAAGTAAAACAAAATAAAAAAAAAAAAATATATATATATATATATATATATATTTTTTTTTTTAAATTTATTTTTACTATTTATTAATTACAGTGCAACGCAGCATGTTAAAATGCAGCGCGATACAGCATACCAAGGTATGTGAATGGTTCCTTAGGCTCTGTTCACACCTGTGCAGGCGTGCATTTATTTTTCCTTGTCACATTTATTGACGCACATTGAAATAATGGGCTGCTCTAGGGAAAAAAAAAAAAAAATCACACAAAAGAAGAGCAAGACCCTGGAATGGAAAATTCAGGGGAAATGTTTATATTTCGGACGAAAATTATATTTTGTTGTGTTCTTGTAATGAAAAAATTTAATAAAAATTTAATTTACAAAAAAAGAAAAAAAAAAGAGCAATAACCATTTATTTAAATCGCGTTGCACCAAAAACCATGGCACTTTGTTGCTGTACTTTTGTTGTTTTGGGAACGCACATAGCTAGGTATGTTGAGGTGCTATTATGAATTGTTTGCACTGCTACATACCTGCAAAATAGCTTTTCTGTGTGTTGCAGGAAAGCATGTAATTTTGTGTGCATTCCCTAGCCTCAAAAGGAAATTCCCCTCCCACTTCCTGTTGTCCCTTCAATCATGGAGACACATCTCCCAATGAGCCAAGGACAACAAAAATAAACTGACAGGGGCTCTTAAAGCTTACCTCCAGCTTTTAGTGAAGTATTGTTTGGACAAAACTGGTCCAAACCAACAATTACTTTCACTACTAGATGTTCCTACTGTGTGTGCTGTATAACCGCTTTAAGAGCAGGCCTTTCCTAATACTTTTTGTTTTACAATCAGTATTTTACTTAGAACCAACTACTATATATATATATATATATATATATATATATATACACACACACACACATACATATATACACACATACACCCTGCTCAAAAAAAATTAAAGGAACTCCTGGGAAATTGATCTGGTCAGTTAAGCTGCATTCACACTTGAGCGTTTTGTAGATTGAAGCTCAAAGCCCAAACTCAAACTTAAAAATTCAATTGTTCTCTATGGTGCCTGTTCACACCTGATCACAAGAACAGGCAAAAATGTATTTTTTAAGTTTAAGCTGTTTTTGAAGCTTCAAGCTACAAAACGTTCAAGTGTGAATGCAGCCTTAAGTAGCAGAGGGGGCTGTTAATTAGTTTCAGCTGCTTTGGTGTTAATGAAATTAACAACAGGTGCACTAGATGGGCAACAATGAGATGACTCCCAAAACAGGAATTGTTTTACAGGTGGAAGCCACTGACATTTTTTTCCCCTACTCATCTTTTCTGACTGTTTTTCACTAGTTTTGCATTTGGCTAGGGTCAGTGTCACTACTGGTAGCATGAGACAATACCTGGACCCTACAGAGCTTGCACAGACAGTCCAACTCCTCCAGGATGGCACATCAATACGTGCCATTGCCAGGTTTGCTGTGTCTCCCAGCACAGTCTCAAGAGCATGGATGAGATTCCAGGAGACAGGCAGTTACTCTAGGAGGGCTGGACAGGGCCATAGAAGGTTCTTAACCCATCAGCAGGACCGATATCTGCTCCTTTGTGCAAGGAGGAACAGGACGAGTATTGCCAGAGCCCTACAAAATGACCACCAGGAGGCCACTGGTGTGAATGTCTCTGACCAAACAATCAGAAACAGACTTCATGAGGGTGGCCTGAGGGCCCATCCTCTAGCTGTTCCTGTGCTCACTACCCAGCACCATAGAGCTCAACTGGCATTTGCCACTGAACACCAGAATTGGCAGGTCCACCACTGGTGCCCTGTGCTTTTCACAGGTGAGAGCAGGTTCACCCTGATCACATGTGACAGATGTGAAAGGGTCTGGAGAAGCCATGAAGAATGTTATGCTGCCTGTAACATTGTTCAGCATGACCATTTTGGTGGTGGGTCAGTGTTGGTCTGGGGAGGCATATCCATGGAGGGACGCACAGACCTATATAGGCTAGACAATGGTACCCTGGCTTCCATTAGGTATCATCAAGAAATCTTTGGACCCATTGTCAGACCCTACGCTGATGCAGTGGGTCCTGGGTTCCTCCTGAAGCACGACAATGCCCGGCCTCATGTGGGAGAGTATGCAGGCAGTTCCTGGAGGATGAAGGAATTGATACCATTGAATAGCCCCGCCAGTTTGCACCACAGACTGTCCAGGAGTTCAGTGATGCCCTGGTCCAGATCTGGGAGGAAATACCCCAGGACACCTCCATCGTCTTATTAGGAACATGCCCCGACGTTGTCTTGCCTGCTGCATAATTTTTTCACTTTGATTTTTGGGATGTCTTTGAATTCAGTTCTCTGTAGGTGACAATTTTCATTTCCATCAAATGGTGGGGCATCCTTATGTTCCTAGCACATTACCCATCCATATCAGTATAGATATCCAGAATGAGATTTTTCCCCATTAAGATCTAATGTGGTTTCAAAGTGTTCCTTTCATTGTTTTGAGCAGTGTGCGTGTATGTATGTATGTATGTATATATATATATATTTATTTAGTTATTTTAGCAGAGGCCTAGAGAATAAAATGGTGGGTTTAGCAATTTTTGTCACACGGTATTTGCGCAGCAGTTTTTGAAACGCAATTTAAAAAAATATACACTTTAATACACACAAACACAATGTAATACTCAATTTGTTGGTGAAATATAAAATATGGTCTTATGCCAAGTAAACAGATACCTAACATGTCACACTTTAAAATTGCGCACACTCCAAAATAGCACCAAACTACGGCATATAAACATATGCATAGGAGACCCTTTAAAACCCTTTATAGGTTACCAGTGTATAGTTCCACAGGTCTGGTGCTAGAATTATTACTCTTGCTCTGATGTTTGTGGAAATACCTCACGTGTGGTGTAGTCACCATTTACACATTTGTGTGGAACTAACGCATGCATTCCTCTTTGCGCACAAGCATGGGGGGGACGGTGGCGATTAAAATTTATTTTTATTATTTTGTTTTATTTATATTTTTTTCATTTTTACACTGTTTCTTTCATTTTTTTTTCAGTTATGGGTTCTCCGATGGGACAGAGAACCCGGAGAGGCTCCAGCGGGTGGTAGGGGAAGGGGGGGGGAGAGCAATCCCTCCCATTGCCTGTAAAAGCAATCCAGCGGCTAATTAGCCACTAGGATTGCTTTTAAAAAAAAGTTCATACTTGAAAAAAACAATACAGAAATGATGTTTGCAGCTGCAGGCATCATCCCAGTATACCATTCGAAACTGCTGACATACGTGTACGTTAGACAGTCTTCAAGGGGATAAACTGAATGAGGCCTCAGCTTCTTAAAATATACAACACGGTGTTCTGGCAGTGGGATGGGAAATTCCCGTCCCATCAAGTTCCTGGAACAAAATCGATTTGGGCTGAGCGCTGCTCAGCCATTCATGGAGAGATTTACATTCTATTATATTAATCCGTTGATTGGCTGAGTCAGAGGGGCAGGCAGATGACATCACAATCTCCGACTCGGCCAATCAGAGAAAACTCTGTATTCATTCATAGGATACAAAGCTCCCTGTGAAAGGCTGAGAGTTTAGCCCGACTCGATTTTGTTTAAAAAAGTGGGATGGGAAGTTCCCATCCAATTGCCTGAACACAGCGCTGTATACAGTATGTAGCAGAGGTCTCATATAGTTTATACAGCGCACACAGTCACTGCATCTCCTAAGTGAATGTAATAGTTCATTTGGACCAGCTTTGTCCAAACAAATTAAACTTCACTAAAATCAAATACCATGTCCATACATGCACTTTAAAAAGAATAACTGGGGTGTTTAAAAATTGAACTATAAAGAGCTGGTTACAATGTACATGTAGTATATTACAAATGAATATACAAAGTCTCACAGTCTGTGCTTCTGAGCATAGTCCGGGGTGACAGTAATGTACTGGGCTCCCAGGTCAACCGTGCACTTTGGGTCCGAAGGACAACGGCTGGTGGACATGCGTCCTCCTAAAAGCAAAGGGAAAACATGACAATTTAAAACACTGGCACTAGAGTAGAACTTCACATCATTCTATTAATGGCAAATTGACCTCAAAACAAAAAAATGTACCGTATTTTTCGCTCCATAAGACGCACTTTTTCCCCCCCTAAAAAAGGGGGGAAAATGTCAGTGTGTCTTATGGAGCGAATCTAAAGCGGCCGGTCCGGTATTTCTGCCGTCACCATGTCAGAATATTGGGCCGGCCGCTCAGCTCTTCTCTCCTGCAGGACCTTACCTTTTCCGCGCTCCAGCGCTGTAGTCTTCCCGCGGCTGCTTCTGTGACAGCCGGGTGCCCACTTGCGCATGCGCGAGAAGCGCTGCGCTTTGTGAATGGTCCGGTGTCTTCTGGGACACATGACAGGTCCCAGAAGGCTCCGGGCCATTCACAAAGCACAGCGCTTCTCGCGCATGCGCAGTGGGCACCTGGCTGTCACAGAAGCAGCCGCGGGAAGAAGAAGGAAGGACAACTCCGCGGAAGTGAGAGCGGGTACCTGTCAAATTCAGGTACCCTTTCCCCCTCCCTCCCCAAAGGTCCACAGTCTCTGGTAATCTTCTTTACTGTCTGCAGTCTCTGATCATCCCCTGCACTGTCTGCAGTCTCTGGTCATTCCCTGAACTATCTCCGCAGTCTCTGGTCATCTCCTGTACTGTCCACAGTCTCTGGTCATCTCCTGTACTATGTCCGCAGTCTCTGGTTATCTCCTGAATTGTGTCCGCAGTTTCTGGTCATTACCTGTACTATGTCCGCAGTCTCTGGCCATCTCCTGTAGTATGTCCGCAGTCTCTGGTCATCTCCTGTACTGTGTCCGCAGTCTCTGGTCATCTCCTGTACTGTGTCCGCAGTCTCTGGTCATCTCCTGTACTATGTCTGCAGTCTCTGGTCATCTCCTGTACTATGTCCGCAGTCTCTGGTCATCTCCTGTACTATGTCTGCAGTCTCTGGTCATCTCCTGCACTGTGTCCGCAGTCTCTGGTCATCTCCTGCACTGTGTCCGCAGTCTCTGGTCATCTCCTGCACTGTGTCCGCAGTCTCTGGTCATCTCCTGTACTGTGTCCAGAGACTCTGGTCATCTCCTGTACTATGTCCGCAGTCTCTGGTCATCTCCTGTGCTATGTCCGCAGTCTCTGGTCATCTCCTGTGCTATGTCTGCAGTCTCTGGTCATCTCCTGTACTGTGTTCGGAGACTCTGGTCATCTCCTGTACTATGTCTGCAGTCTCTGGTCATCTCCTGTGCTATGTCCGCAGTCTCTGGTCATCTCCTGTGCTATGTCCGCAGTCTCTGGTCATCTCCTGTACTGTGTCCGCAGTCTCTGGTCATCTCCTGTACTGTGTCCGGAGACTCTGGTCATCTCCTGTACTGTGTCCGCAGTCTCTGGTCATCTCCTGTACTGTGTCCGCAGTCTCTGGTCATCTCCTGTACTGTGTCCGCAGTCTCTGGTCATTTCCTGTACTGTGTCCGCAGTCTCTGGTCATCCCCTGTACTATGTCTGCAGTCCATTGGTTCAGAATATTTTTTTCTTGTTTTTCTCCTCTAAAACCTAGGCGCGTCTTATGGTCAGGTGCGTCTTATGGAGCGAAAAATACGGTAAATGTTTTTTAAGCAAACAGAAATTGCAAGGTAAACATGCTGCATGTATGCTTGCAAAATTAATTTTAAACTGACTGAACTAAGCAAACCAGAGATCCTCAACTCGATTTAAGGGGATCTTAATTGATTGTCACTTGATTGCTAAAGCTGATTAGCCTTGGCAGAATTTTATCGATTGCTTCAGAACGATCAAACAAATATATGTGTGTGTATGATGGAATGCCGATTGTATTTCTGATTGATCGGTTTTGATAGATCACTTACATTTATAATTTGATAGATCACTTTTATTTCTATCACAAGAAATGTAAACACCCATTATTAAGGTAAATAATGTTTTTACAATCACTTTATAGCAGTAGTAAAAAAAAAAAAAATTTTGCTTTCAAATGAAGCCCACCAGCACAGCGCTCTGCATTCTACAGCACACTGTGTGCCCTGAACGAAGAGCACTGCACATGCCCAGATGACATCATCGGCTATTGCCGCTGCATGTTTAGTAGATAACTGTAGTTATAGGTAAGCAGGATTGTAAGCTTACTAGCAGGAACAACTTCACATACAGAGTTAACTAGCACTTTACAGTGGTTGTAAACCCTTAACAGTGACGTGACTGGCCTCAGGTGATACACAGAGATGAAACAAGTCCTCCTAAATAAGTTATACAGTTGCAAGAAAAAGTATGTGAACCCCTTGGGATTATGTGGAGTTTTGCATGAATTGGGCATAAAATGTGCTCTGAACGTCATCTAAGTCACAACAATAGAAGAACACAGTCTGCTGAACATAATACTACACAAACATTAGATGTTGCCATGGTTTAATTGCACATAACATGTAAACATTCACAGTGCAGGGAGGAAAAAGTATGTGAGGCCCTAGCTTAATGACTTCTCCCAGAGCGAATTGGAGCCAGGAGTGAACCAACCTTGACTCCAATCAGTGTGATGATATTGGGTGTGTTGCTGACAGCTGTCCTGCCCTTAAATAACACACACCTGTTTTGGGTTTACTGGTTTCAAGAAGCACTGTCTGATGTGAACCATGCCTCGCAGAAAAGAGCTCTCAGAAGACCTACGATCAAGAATTGTTGACTTGCATGAAGCTGGAAAGGGTTACAAAAGTATCTCCAAAAGCCTTGATGTTCATGTGTCCACGGTAAGAAAGACTGTCTACAAATGGAGAAAGTTTAGCACTGTTGCTACTCTCCCTAGGCATGGTCGTCCTGTAAAAATGACTGCAAGAGCACAGTGCAGAATGCTGCATGAGGTAAAGAAGAATCCCAGAGTGTCAGCTAAAGACCTACAGAAATCTCTGGCACATGCTAACATTTTTGTTGACACATCTACAATAAGGAAAACATTAAACAAGAATGGAGTACATGGGAGGACACCACGGAGGAAGCCATTGCTGTCCAAAAAGAATATTGCAGCACGTTTGAAGTTTGCAAAAGAGCACCTGGATGTTTTACACAGCACTACTGGCAAAATATACTGTGGACAGATGAAACCAAGATTGAGTTGTTTGGGAAGAACACACAACACTATGCATGGAGAAAAAAAGGCACAGCACACCAACATCAAAACCTCATCCCCACTGTAAAACATGGCGGAGGGAGCATCATGGTTTGGGGCTGCTTTGCTGCCTCAGGGCCTGGACGGATTGTTGTCATTGATGGGAAAATGAATTCAAGAGTTTATCAAGATATTTTGCAGGAAAACGTATGACCATCTGTCCGCCAACTGAAGCTCCGCAGAGGATGGGTGATGCAACAGGACAATGACCCAAAGCATACAAGTAATTCAACAAAACAATGGCCGCAACAGCACAGAATACGCCTTCTGGAGTGGCCCAGTCAGAGTCCTGACCTCAACCCGATTGAAATGCTGTGGCATGACCTTAAGAGAGCGATTCACACCAGACATCCCAAGAATATTGCTACATGAAACAGTTTTGTGAAGAGGAGTGGTCCAAAATTACTCCAGATCGTTGTGCAGGTTGATCTGCAACTACAGGAAACGTTTGGTTGAGGTTATTGCTGCCAAAGGAGGGTAAACCAGTTGTTAAGTCCAAAGGTTCACATACTCCCTGCACTGTGAATGTTTAATGTTATGTGCAATTAAACCATGGCAACGGTTGTGTAATATTATGTTCAGCAGACTGTGTTCTTCTATTGTTGTGACTTAGATGACGTTCAGAGCACATTTTATGCCCAATTCATGCAAAACTCCCTCCCAAGGGGTTCAATACTTTTTCTTGCAACTATCTGTTTCTCTACATCTATTTAAAGTACTGAATTTATAAAGTTTGCCTGAGGTTCAGAAAAAAGGGGGGTGGAGATCTGAAATTACACTCTGCAGAGCTCAGTGAGGAGAGTTGATTAGAGGGATGAGACCCCCCCTTTCACACAGCACACAGGAACATAGCTGAGGCTGCCAATCACAGGCATTCCCTTCTCTGGTCACCATTTTTCTCTTGGTATCAGATAAACTTGTCAGAAGTGACCCTTGCTGATAGCAGACGCAGTGAACAGAAGTGACACTTAGTGCTCTGGACTGAGACATGTACAGACTATAGAGTGGTATGCTTTGTTCATATTTCATGCCTGAGGTTTACAACTGCTTTAACCCTTTCACTCCCAGGTCCGTATGTCTAAATCGTGTCTAAAATGAACAGGCAGACTCCTGCCTTTCAGGTGGAAGCAGTTGGGCGGCTGCGCTCCCGTTCAATTGCTTCCACAACCCCCAGTAACTTGCGTGCGCACGCTCCTGCCATGTATTCCGGGCTCCACTTGCCCATCTGTGGGCCCATGGCGGCCTGGGTGGGTGCCAGCGGGTGGAGGGGGAGAGCGGACACTTGTCTGTTCTCTTCATGTATGACGTCACTTCCACGGCACTGCTGTCACTTTCCCCACCTAGAATAGCCAGGGAGGAATGAATTGCAATGATATCTGCATTGCAATACATCCAAGGAAACCCAGAGGAGACATGCAGGGTTTCAATTAAAGGGAACCTGTCACCTAAAATTCATCACATAGGGGACTTATGTGACGAAACAAAAAAAAAATTAAGTTACACCCAAGTAAATAACACCCCCCCCACCCCCAAAAACAAATTCTGAGGCCTCCCCCACCCCACATATAGGAATGTAAACTCACGTATTAGGGGCGCCTATGAGTAAAAACGTTGATTGTAATACACACGTTACATATTAGAAAAAATATATATAATGGCGCCTATGGAAAAAATATATCTATATATATATCTATAAATCACTTCTTGTAATATACCAGCTGCAAAAAATCACCATAAATCAATAAGGTGTAATAAATAACAAAAAAATAATTTGCGCTAGTAAGTATAAAATTATATCCATAAATCAAATATATAAATGGTGCAAAAAAAATATGTAAAAATTATTCAAAAACAAAAAAGTCCACACTTGAAAATATGTGCCACAAAATATAATTTGCGCTAGTAAATATAAAAATATAGAACCACCATACCCAGGGGCGTATTCACCACAAGGCAAATAAGGCACCTGCCCAGGGTGTCACAAAATATACTTTGCGCTAATAAATATAAAAATATATCCGTGAATCAAAAAAAAAATATATAAATTATTTTCATATAAATAATACTTAAATAAGAAATGTCCAAATAAATAGTCCAAACTTTGAAATATGTGACACAAAAAAACAGTGCACAAAAAATATATAAGTGACAATACCACCATCAAAAAACTGAATAGACGTAATATTAGTAGAAAAATGGAGCATCCATAGATGTGTCTTCAAGGAGTGATATTCTGCAGGACCCAGATCCAAATAGACCAATTTCAGATGGAACAAATGCTTAAGAATCAAATATCATCAAGGAAATCCACTTCTCCAAAAGAACCTTCCTATTCGTATCCAAGGAGGGAAATGCCAGACACTCGGAAAAAACACAAAAGAACTTCATGGTGCAGTATTATTAGAAAACAGCTTCCTTTATTAGATACTCATTGCACTTATCTCAAAAGGTGTCCCAGCCGACACCAGCGTAAACAGCATACAGCAATCACAACGAACGAACGGATGAACGAACGAACCCAGCTACTCGGCTAGCTCATGGAAAAAAACGTAATGACGTCACATCGATCAAGCTCCACCCTACGCGTTTCGTCATCGACGTCCTCACGGAGCGGATCGATGTGACGTCATTACGTTTTTTTTCCACGAGCTAGCCGAGTAGCTGGGTTCGTTCATTCATCCGTTCGTTCGTTGTGATTGCTGTATGCTGTTTACGCTGGTGTCGGCTGGGACACCTTTTGAGATAAGTGCAATGAGTATCTAATAAAGGAAGCTGTTTTCTAATAATACTGCACCATGAAGTTCTTTTGTTTTTTCCGAGTGTCTGGCATTTCCCTCCTTGGATACGAATAGGAAGGTTCTTTTGAAGAAGTGGATTTCCTTGATGATATTTGATTCTTAAGCATTTGTTCCATCTGAAATTGGTCTATTTGGATTTGGGTCCTGCAGAATATCACTCCTTGAAGACACATCTATGGATGCTCCATTTTTCTACTAATATTACGTC